AATATAGTTCATTCAACTGGAAAGGTGCAGAGCATCTCCAGAAAAGGAGCATTTAAACCAGCCCATCCCTTCCTCTACAGACCTTTTCTCTTCACTATCAAAGCAAAGCTCTGCAATGTGATGTTCTTCCCAGTCACACTTGTTTGTTGCACATGCTGCATTCTCAGACAGGGACGCCAAACCTCTTTTTCCTCTCAGCATCTGAAAATGTAGGATTTTTTGGATTTTGGTTGGGCATGTGACCTTTTAAGGAAATAAGCCACAGCACTGAAGGACTCAGAAAATTTATTCAAGCAGAACTTGCCAAACAAGTTAAAGAAGTACGAAAGCTCTTCTGGAGCTGGTATTGAATACCTCACAATGCTAGAAAAGCGTGTGATCAGAGCAGACTGGCAGGAAAGAGCAATGTGTACATTGTGCCACTATATGTGCTTGGACAAATAGAACAGAGGAGTGTGCCCTGTTACAGGGAGGCTTCAATGTCGGGTTTTTCCTTTTTCAGCTAGCAGTGGAGACAGAAAAGACCAGCTGTGCTGAAGCTGGACACAACCTCCATATGTGCAGCTATCAAAAAAGCTGGAAGCCATACCAGGTAGCTCTCCTTTTGTCAGGAGTTGGTTCTAAAAAGCTCCAGTTTCTGTTTTGGCAGAAATTAGGACCATTTAGGGACTGCCTTCAATTATGTAGGCTCTCTCTACAGTGCCATCAATTAGTATGCAGTAGCACTTCCACCCCAGTATGTGAGCTAGGCTGGAAAGAAAATGTCAAAAAAAAAAAAAAAAAAAAAGCGCACAAATGTACAGCTTTTCTCTCTGCAATATCTCTGAGTGGACACTATGAGATGGTTACTGCAGCTCTGTACCTGTGGAAATTGTGCCATCTCAGGGAGATATCCTGTGGAGAAAATGTGAATGCTTTCTGCTCCACCTGTGCTGCTGCAGGGGACCAGGCCAGAGAACCTGTCTTTGGCTTTGCAAGGGCAGAGACATGAATGACAGATGGGGAAGAGGCTACTCACCCATATCCATCCCAGAAACCATGTACTGACTGTGTTGTTTGCAGTCAGTTTAATGATCTCAGGACACGTCCCCAGAGGATGGGAACGCACACTGGGAAACACAGGACAGTTGCCAGTATCAATCATGGCAACACCCAAAAAGTGAAGAGAAAACGAGAGTGAGTGACCAACCGCTTCATTCTTCAGCTGTCCATCATCAACTGAGCCAAGCTGGAAAGGTAGGTGAGTTTGGGAGGAGAGAGAGCACTGTCAGCCTCCAGGAAAATAAAGCCCAAGATGATAATGCAGAGGATAGCACTTTGCAGAGAGCTTTCAGTTACACTAAGTGAATTATTCTTCTCTGAAAGAAGATGGGTGCATGGAGGAAGGGTATAGTCTGTTGTAGCATAAGCTGTGCAGCAGGGAAGTTAGGGGATATACCAGGAAAACTTTCCTAGCAGAGAAATATATTAGTATGCAGAGCCATGTCAGTGAAAGCAAAGAGATAAACGTGTAACAAAGAGTATTTCATGTAATGAACCAAAATTGCAGCATATTTTGCATTTGTATTTGCCTCATATAATTTGCAGGACTCATTACAGGGTGTTACCTAAGCTGCTGTATGGCTCTCAGCTTTCTTAGCCAGTGTTTCTCCTTTAAATAAGCTGAAGTTACACTGGGTGCAGGGAAATATTTGGACATGACCTGAGCAACCATCAGCCCTATTTATTTCCCATTTCTTCTCTCCTGCAGCCAGGAAAAAACAGAGAAACCTATCCACCAATCTCTGCCTACAGAGCAGGTGCTCAAAGTGTCCAAAACCTAAGGGGAGCCCAGGCATTTCGGAAGCGTAAGTAACTCAATGCATGGAGACAGCATCTCCCCAGAGGCTTTTCTCTAGCTTAAGGCTTACTAAGGCAATTTCTCTTATTAATTGGCAGCTCAGTAACTATCCTTGAAAAAGGAAGAGACACAAATCTCAAGGGAAGAAACACGAGGAACTCCCAAATCCCAGGAGGAGTAGCTTCATGGACGGCCTCACCTCTGCCGGTTCCCAGGCAGACCTCGTCCCTCCTGCTTCTCGAGGCCAGGGTGACACAGTCTAGCGGTTCCTGGCTCAGCGCAGACGTGGGGGCTCTGCAGAACCCAGCAGACATTCCTGCACACCAGCCATTTTCTGTCAGGTGCCGAGGAAAAGGTGGGTGCCGAGTGGTTGTGCCCTAGCTGCCAGCGTGTTTTCTACCAGCCCATGAGAAAAATGTCCTTAACTGCTCAGCTCACTGATGTTATGTAAGTGGATTTAGAGGAAAAAGCACTGCCATGAGCTGGTTTCTAATTAGGAAAAGAAATAAAAAGAATTATGGAATTAAGGCAGAACCTCAGCATGAATGACCCAAATCCCTTCCTTGTGCCGCAGTCCACAGCAGGCTATTAGAAAACTTTTTTTTTTTTTTTGATGTTAATTCATCACAAAGATGAGGCAAATTCTTTTGTAGGCTGGTACCCACTCTTCCAAGCTGCTGATCCCACTTAATTCATCTATTGTAAGTGCAAAGGATACTTTAGGAAGAGGGGTGCTTTGCAGTGTAAGAACTCCTACAGACACTGCTGATATGTAGCAATGGGGCACACCATAGAACCAAGAATCATCATGGTTGGATAGACCTTTAAGATCATCATCCAATTGTCTACCCAGCTCCAGTCCATTTACAGTCCACTGTAACCCCTAAACCATTAAACCATTTCACCCAGTGTGAGATCCAGATGCCTCTTAAACACCTCCAGGGATGGTGACTCCACCACCTCCCTGGGCCACCTATTTCAATGCCTGACCATCCTAACAGAGAAAAAACCTTTTTCTAACCCTAACCCTAACCTTTTTTTTCTTACTCTCCCCCATCACAGCTTAAGGCCATTTCCTCTGGTCCTCTCACTGCAAGCACAGCAGAAAAGAATGGCCCCCACTGCGCTACAACCTCTTTTCAGGTAGTTGTAGAGAGCAATGAGGCCTCCCTGAGCCTCCTCTTCTTGAGACTAAAGAAATCCAGCTCACTCAGCTGTTCTTCATAAGACACATTTTCTAGACCTTTCAGGAGCCTTGTTGCCCTTCACTGGACACGCTCCAGCACCAAAATATCCTTTTTGAAGCCAGTACACTGTACTCAAGGTGCAGCCTCACCAGTGCCGAGTCCAGGGGGATGATCACTTCCCTAGTTCTGCTGGCTATCCATACAATCACCGTACAATTACCATTTCCTAATCTGCACTGGCAGCTTTCTGTAGGTTGTGTGCACTATCATGACAACTCAGAGTTGCCTACAGTGAGTTACTATTGCACTGGGTATACATGTCTCATTAATAGTGGTGATGTCAGGCATCCACAGGTTTTCACAACCTGACCTCCGCAAGAGGTAAGAGTACCCTACACTTCTCACAAATCAGGTCATATTTGTCTGAATACTAAGTTGCAGATTTAAGTGTCTACACTTTAAAACACTGGCTAGCCAAACAGGTCATTTATGGTTCTCAAAGAAGCGAGCAACTTGAAATTTGATGAGGAAATTTTAACTTCTCCATTCACAATACTGCCTATTGTGAGTGGTAACACTCACCTAGAACAGAAGCATTTTGATGGCGTTGAATCCCTAAAGGCATAGCAGTTCCTTTAGCAGGTTAAAGAATCTAAGCAGATGCCCCAGGATGTAGTGCTGCTGGTTGCAAAGCTCACATCCTCAGTAAATCAGTTGAAGTCAGACTTACTCTTTATATATGAAGGCACTATCTCCCTGAAACTGCCACGCTATATGATACAAAATCTGCATCAGATGGAAAATGTGCACTGGTGATTATTGGTTTGATAGAATGATAGCTTAGCTTCTGCACTGGTCTTTTTTCTGCTGCATCAGTCCCTTAGGCTTTTTCCTTTCTGCAGCAAGACTACAGGCATGAAGTACAAAAGGGATACCTCAGCTTTCTGGCCTAAGAGAGACCTTGTCAATTGTGGCACACAGCTGAATAAATCCAGGTACTGCAGGGAAGCACCTTGCTCCTGGCAGTTTGGGTTCAGGACTAATGTTTGACAGCCACTAGCATGCAGGAACATGAACCTGACAAGGAATCTTAGCAAAGCCCATTAATAAAATACCCTGCAATTACGCAAAGGACTGGGTAGTTAGTTGAAGCACACGGAGCACTCACAGCCAAGACACAAGTACAGAAACACAGTGAAGAAAACAACTCTTTTCTGGGGAGAGACTCCAGCTTGGGGTGAGCAGACAGAAACTCACTGGGTAGCAGAGGCACCATGCAACCACATTATCTCAGTCTGTTCCGCTCCTCTCCTCTCACCACCTAGGGTAAAGTGTGTGCTGAGGTTGGGTCCTCATGCTTTCAAGTAAAAGTCAGGTACATGGAAATACCATACCTGTAACACTGCCGGATCAAAATACTTCACTGCCACAGTTATCTTATGCTCTTTTGTACTCAGAGACAAAACTTTCTCTTTGTTTTAGGGAAGAAAAATGGTTACTGTGATGCTGATGCTCTCAGCTTTGTGTGTGGTGTGTGCTGGTGGGTGGTGGTGACCATTTGCTACAGCAGTGACACAGCAGGGTTAAAACACTGCGTTTTCCACCTCGGCTCCTGGGCTGCCGAGCTGGATGAGTAATGTGTTTTTGTGTGGCAATGGACTGCTGAAAGGCTGAGTGAATTCATGCAGAAGGGTAGAGTAGCAGCTGATGCAGAAAAGCCTGTGCTCATGAACAGCTGTGCAAAGGCAACTGCACTTACACAGACGGAAGCAGACAGGTCTCTTGTCCAGCTGGGACAGCACTTGGAAGCTTCCACCATGCTAAGCTTTGCAAGGTGCCAGGTCTCAGGCCTGAATTCAAAAAGCCCTTCGTAGCCGCTCTGACTTACAGACATTCACAGATTTAGCCAGAAGGTCCAGCCTGAAGAGTCCTTTTTTTTCCCCTGTCAGCCTACAAACAGAGACCCAGAATAATTAAGACAGTGCTCATTTTATTGTACTCAGCATGGAAACCAGATGTAAAACAGCAAAACATTAAATTCCTAAGGGACTCGATCAGGTGGGTAACATTGCTTTAGTATCACTGTAAGACTTCTTCACATGCAAACTTCTGTTGGTATGTCTCAAATGAATGCCACGGTACACCTGGAAGCCTAATACTAGCTTTATTTTGTACAGTACATCACGTTCAATCAGTGTAACTATAAAATGAATAACGCCACAATAATATTATTCGTTGTTAGAAGCCCCGAAGTTAGTTTTCTTCTGCTGCTGACTGATCCACGGCCATAGTTTTTTGGAATTAAAAGTTCCGCTATGCTCCCTCCCTTTAGCTCTGGGCAGAAACTCCCTGTACTTTTCAGTGTGCCACTGAGACCTTTATTTCACAACTCAGATGTGATTTTATGTGCCACAAACACAGAGATCTTTCTCTTCCATTTTTATGGAAATTCCTCAGGGCAGTGTCTAAACTTGCTTTTGATGTACTTGAAATTATTGATTGTGAACTGGGCTAAGGGAAGTGCTGTCAGGAGGACACTCAAGCAGAAGGGTCACCTGTTGTAGCAGAGCTGCTGAGAAGCATCTGAGACTCATATTCTGCAGCAGACAACTTCTGGAGACTTTGCTGGCAGATGTAATTTATTTCTACTCCAAAGAGTGTCAGTCTAAGCAGAAAACTAACAAAAACTTAAGGTCTATTATTTCAAATGGGGCGATGTGATTCTATTCCTAATGAACTCCAATGCTTGCTGTCACCCATAGTCAGTTTTTTAGAGACCAGATAAGGAGAAAATCCTTGTTTCTGTATTGCAGAGTGATTTAAGCTTGCCGCAAGGTTGTATAAAATGCTAAGCCTCCAGCATTCAATCAGAAGGGCAAAGGGAAAAAGTCATTAGAGCATGAATGATGCATGAGACTTGCACACACGCACTCCCCTTTTAAAAAGGGACACATGTACACATAAGCTTACCTACAGCAAACATTTTCCTAGAGGAAAAAATATTTCCTCTCTATGTGATTTGGCTCAGTAATAATTTTTTTTAAAAGCAGCCTGAATGGTGAAAGGTATGTTTCACTTTGCAAGATCTTCGTTGTCAGGTTTTGATGCAAAATCCACATTAGAAATTCTAGGAAGGAAGGGCTACTCAGAAATGCACAAAGCAGAAAAAAACCAGTAAATCTCAAGAGTTTAAAAAACCCCAGATGATAGTAATTTCAGCTTGGCTCAATTCAGCTGTAATACTTCATTCTTTTAAACATCTACACTAACTCAGGGGGGATAATTTAGGCCCCTAAAAGAACATTGCAGCCAGTTCAAGGTACAGGCCCTGACCTTCAGGTCCGTGAACCACTGCAGCATCCAGTGATCCTAGAGATACTTGGTAGTGTGCAGCATTTGGATAAGGATATATGTGCACATCTTTGGGACAACTGAAAATACTGACCACTCACAGAGCCATTACAGAGACATCAAAAAATAAACCAGCCGATGTTGGTTACTAAAACTGCAGCTGTAACTTTTTAAGCCCATGGAGCCTGACAATCAGTTGTCCCTTTCAGAGAAGCTGTTCCCATTAAGCTGTGTGTGAAAGATTTTACTCTGTCTTGGTAATGTTTTGCATTAATTTTTAAAAAGTGTAGAAGGATAGACACTGAACAAGATAACAGAGCTAACAGGATAATAAAACTTGTGCTTTCACACAAACCTTGCATACACTGAGCTAAATTATAAAACACTGTAATGGTATATTCCATCAAGTTTCCAAACCGAAAACCAGTGGCAGCCAATTTGAATTTTCCTTCAACACTGATCTTCATTTGGATTTCCACTTTTACCTTTAACATTTCAACATAGTAATGAAATTCAAGAGAAAATTTAGTGTTATCTTCAGAGCATACATTCACTTTTTCTGAATCCCTTGAATATACTTCTCCAAACAGTGCATTTTACAATTGCAGTAGCAGTAATAAACTGAGGTTGTTTGCCTAGAGGTTTTATTTAATCGAATTTGGATATATCTATAAATACTAGCCAAATATATAACCTTTGGAAATGCTAATTTTCCTAAAAGCCACGGGATACCACCAACAATATGAAAAATGTGTGAGGCCAGAATGAGGAAATGGGCAGACCCTAAGCACTGGCTTTACACACACAGGAATGGGAATTCCTTGTGAAGCACATACATTATTTTATATGTCTTGTGGTCCCTTCCTCCCCATGTTTCTCAGCAATTCCTTCTTGTATATTCAAGAAGTTTTTTTCCTCTGAAATGGAGAAGACAGATATTCCCCTTCTTGTCTATTCAGCTACTTCCCCACTCTTTTTTCTTCCCCAAAGCAACACACAGCTGGCAGATACCAACCAAGTACACACAGACATACGACACAGCCTCACATGAAATCCAGGACTATATTGCAAATTGCCTGCACCAAGATACTCCAAAACTCAGGTTTTGTATTGGTAACACTGAAATGTAATTATTCTCATCTTTTCCTAGTGCAAAGCTCCTGAAGTGAAACTAGAGGTAAATATTCTATTCTCATTCACTGCTTTTATAAATGGTTCTGTCCATGTCAACCTTCCTAGAAGATGCAACCAAGAGGGAATAGTGACAATAAGCTTGTTTCCCAAAATTTCTCATCTTGCAAAAAAATGAATTTAAAAGTTACTTCAGCTGGCTAGGCTGCAACACAGGTATTTTTCTCTTTTTTTCCATATAGATTTACTCTTGGAAATGACAAAGTATTTTCTGTTTTGAACCCTCTTTTTATTAGCCCAAATGGATTTCCTTAGTTTTTAGTCATCCAACCATCAGCAATATGATTCTGAGTCACTGGGCAGAGAAAAGGAATGGGGTGGTGGCACACAGATCATCTGCCCCTATTCTCTGCCATATCCCTACTCCAGGCACACTTTCATTTTTGACAGATGAAGACACCAAGTCTTTCTTGGCTGCTACAAGCCCACTCACATGCATAATATTTGCTAATTGCTACCCAAAACATGGTTCTGTTTTGCTGCTGCTGAAACATGTGTCATCCATATGAGGATTCACATTTTCATCCAGACACTGTATGGAGGAGCAAGCAAAAATCACCAGTGTTAAAACTAGCAGCTTTCCTACAGTCTGCCCTAGCAAGGCAAAGTCAAAACCTAAAATATTTTCCATGAGATGTGCTGGTGATTATCGACTCATTTCTGTGTGCTGGCTTTTGGCACTTTATTGCTTGACTTTAAACACACATCTGAAGGACTTCTGCACTCACTAGACTGTGTCACAGACACTCGGCATCTTTGCACTTATATTTTCCCAGAATACATGCTGAGCAGTAAATTTTTTTTTCAGTTATGCCCATGCAGTTGTTCAGATGCATCCACTTAGTAACTTGTCCACCACTGCTTTGTGGTATGTAGGCATTAGTGAAATTTTCCTAGAAGAAAATTTGGCGTGGGGAAGGGAGGTGTGGGTGGACTGGCTAGTGAGACTCACAGCTGAAAGAAGCTGCAGGGAACCAGGGGAGATCTCCCATTCCTCACAAAGGAGAATTAATTCTAGTGCTGGCCCAGCACCCTGCTCATTCATCGCCAAGCCCAGTTTGGTCTTAGTAAAGCCACCCATATGGTAGAAATATTTTGCAGAGCTTAAGCTAAAGGATAAAGTTCATAGAAATCGGTGAATGTGCGATAGCTGTTTATTCTCCTCCTGAAAAAAATAAGACAATCTATTTGTATATTCAGACTGAGGATATTTGTAAACGGACAGTTCAGAATAAGCTGGCTCACGGCGCGACAGGAAGGGTGACAGCAGAGAGAGGGACGCAAGCTGAGCCAAGGGACACGGTTTCACAAGAAGACAGGCTGGGCAACAGCTAGTGAGGGAAGGGGCAGAAGGGAGGCAAAAGGAGCAGCACAAAGCCTTGGACCTGAACAGCAGACAGCAAAAACCACAGACAGCTCGGGGAACCTCGTTAGGTCTGACATGGACACAATGTGGGAAGAGACACTGAACTTGTCAACTAACCTGACCTAATGATACTGCCAATATTAATCCCACACAAAATTTCACATGAAACTCACATCTCAGACACTGCTAGGAAGGGGGTGGAAACAGCAGTACTAACAGAAAAAAAGGCTGGAGACTATCCTCCTGGTAGGCAGAGGTGGGAAGACACTCTCTAATGTGATGTTTCAGAATGAGCAATTCGGCATCACAAGTGGGAGTGGACTTGAATTAACGTACAGAAATTGATCAAAGACGTGACATAAAACCCCCAGATATTCACCAGAGGAAAACTGGGAGTCAATTCAGTACTATGCCTAGGGGCAACACCTTTCATTGAAATGGGTTAAAATACTGTATATTACAGTATTTTACTTTTCTGTTGGGGAAAAACTGCCCCAAAACATCTACTATGAAGGGTTGCCAGTTGATACACTCAAGAAATCTGGCCTCCTAAATAAAAGGGAACTACCTCAGGTTCATTTTACAGAAAAAAAAAAAAAAGAAAAAAAAAGATTAATACTCATTTACACTGCGTAAACCTGTAAGATTTAGAGTAAGTTGTAAGAGTAAGATCTACAGAGTAAGTCAGGTGTGTGGTACTAGAGACAGAAAAAAATTATCATGATTCATGAAATATATTTAATGGAATAAAAGTAACTCCTATTTAACTCTAGTACTTTGCAGGACTACAGTATCCAAATCCTCAGTGCTTTGCAGGATTGATAACTAAATTTCCTACAAACTGCAGGAGTTCCCCAGCCTCCCATTATGAACTCTAGTGGACAGAATAAAAAGCTAGTGGGAAACATATTTCCCAGGCTGAAAAATATTACGTTGAAAAATGTGACCAACATACATTTGAGGCATTGTATATCACAATTCTGGAGAAACAGTCACTAAGCTACCTTTTATTAGCAGTTTCTATAACTTTTCTAACTTCAGAAATACAGCAAAGATTGTCTCAAGATTTCAGTACTGCTATAAAGTAAATTTTTCAAGTTAACAATATAATGGTTTATAATATAGAGTGTTAGGTAAAACAAAATACACACAGGCTTAATAAATGGTATTGGTTTTATGAAAGGCAGCAAGAAAAGCACCAAAATACTGAAAAAGTAGAGTTGGCTAAGGACTTAAAAAGGGAAAAAGACCCACACTAGACATGGAGGCTCATGAACCCAAATGGACAGGACAGCCTGCTCGTACGGGAGAACATCTCTGAAGAGAGAAGAAAGATCCAAATCACTTTAATGAGTGATTTAGAGGAGACGTGCTCAGCGCCGTGGGAGGCTGGGAGCAGGGGCTGTCCACCCCAGCTGAGGAGCCAGAATGGCTCACTGCTTTTGAAAGACCTGGCAGGAACACCCCAGCAGGCACCATCCCACTGGATGTAGGTACATCTACCAGTATGCTCTCCTGTGCCTTGCCTGCTTATACCTTAAGCATGGCTTAAGGTATATTTTGTCCCCATAAGGGGACAAAAAGCCCCTCTCTCACCCTCCCCTCCCCTTCTGGCCATCAAAATCCCATTGATTTAGCTCCTCCCAAAGAGATAGTCCTTCAGTGCTGATCCTCACTCTTTGCCTGGTTCTCCATTTCAACAAGAGGCTCCCTGGGGCTCACCTGAGAACACTGCCCCACAGTATCAGCAGAAGTGAGACTGCTCAGTGATCAATGTCCATAGCCTGTTCATGGATTTGCCTCAGCGTAGGTAACTTACACACCAGGAAAGCCGTCTTGTGTTAGGTCTTTACAGGTGTTAAACCTTAGTTCCACCTCCCACAGCTTCCCCCAGTCCACCCCCTTGTATAAGACCTCATGATGCACACAAATAATTTCCCATAAAAATTCTGATAATCTCTCGCTTCCTGCTTTATCAGAAGGTGCTGCTCTCCCTGTAGCAAGGTGGCAATTGAAATTTGTGCTTTTGCTAAGTGCCTAGCTTTTCATCTGACAGTAATCGGGATGGGGGCATAATGTGGGAATACACCAGCTGCGACAATAATAATGGCATGATGGAGCATGTGGCTAGTCAGAAAACAAAGGGGAATAATTTTCCACTGTTGCTGCATCACAACCCCAGTAACACAACCGAACAGCAGGACTCGAGACTTGAGGAGAGGGATTCTCTCTACCACTGCAGAGATCCAGGCACCCCTGCAAACCATGTCAGTCTAATACAGAAGAGGGAGCAGGTCGGACACAGCAGTTAGGACGCCTAAAATTCTGCAGCATGGACTGGAACACGTTGTGCTGCCTCCCTTTCAGTTTCTTATTTGAGGATGTATCCGAGGAAATGGATTTCCGTGTCTGACTATTCTGGGCCCGGATCAGTTTCTCGTGTTCCCGTATTTGTCTCTGTAAGTGGTTCTGGATGGCAATTCCCAGGGATTCTGGATCAAGGGAAGCACCGTAAACTTCCCACGTCATTCCCTGCTCGTCCCAAACAACATCCCTGACGTGTTTGGACTGCTTCACTTGCACTTTTGCCTCCATGGCTGGGGTGGGTTGCTTTTTGTTTTCCCCCAGGTTTGGCAAGGCCTGAGTTGAAGCAGGAATCGCTGCTGTGTGAAGCTCGTGTCTGGACTCCCTGGCCTGGAAGCCTTGCTGCTGGAGAGATGCCGATGCTGCTGCAGGATGGGCAAGACCTGCAGAACTCCCACTCATCTTAGGTGTCAGTCCTGCCTGCAGGTTCTGGCTGCTGGCTGTCTGAGACTGGCTGGTGTCTCCCTGGCCTCTGCTCTCCTTCTCACCTACATCCTCCAAGCACGCCGTTACGTGGACAGTGGCAGGCTGGCTGCTAACACTCATGCCTCCTTTAAGATCAAGCACCACCAAGTTTTCTTCCTTTGGTTTTACCACAGATTGATAAGGAATGGCCTCCCCTTGACCTGCACCCTTACTTTGCACAGGCTTTTGCTCAGAGCTGGCTGGGATCTCCTTCTGCTTGACTTCACTGTCTGTGCTACAGAGTAAAGCTAATGGGCTGCTTCCTGCAACACTGGCAAGATCTTGCATGTTGTTCTCAGTTCCTGGGACAGCAGCAGGGGAAGTGTTGCTTGGTTCATCAGTGCCAGTCCCAGACTGGGATGGAGTTTGATTACTGGCGCCAACAGCAAGCTGCTCGACTGGGACAGGCTTTGGTGGGACTGGAGCATCCACTGGCAGCTGAGCAGCATCCTTGCCACAGCAGGCTTCACCGGTCGTTCCAGCATTACCCACAGATGTCCCTTGGGAGGTAATGGCTGCAGGGGAGAGGGGGACAACAGGTTTTGCATTATCTGCTGACACTGGAGACACCATGTCGGATGGGACCCCAGGCGGTTTGACAGGCTGGGTTTGGGCTGAAGCAGTCACAGCCATAACAGTCGATTTTGGTGTGATACCAGGAGAACATGGGGACTTTTGTTGTGGAGATAAACTGTCAGTATGTGTAGCCTGGCTCAGCCCCATACCTCCTTGGTAAATTACGTGCAGTTCTTCCTTCTCCTCTGGAGGAGGATTCCCTTTCAAGAAGGCAACAAGGATGCTGGGACTGGTGGAGGCGGATTTGCTCTCCACGGTAGCCACAGCCTGAACCTCAGCATCTCGCCATGTCCTGCTTACAGCTTCCTGAGTCAAAGAGTTGCTCTCTGGCTGAACCGTCATTGTACCTGTTTCTCTGAATTTGGAGAGCTGGGTGGGGCCTGGACTTCCTGGCCTGGGGTCCGTGTTGTGTACAAGATGTGGACTCCTGTGGCTAAACTGGGCTGGTGCCGTGTTGCTCTGCACCGCTTCAGCTTTATCTGCGGGCTGCAACTGCGCCGTGTCTGCAGTCCCGCTGTTCGCCTCCAAACTGGTCTGTGGGTCTCTCCCCAGGTCAGCTTCGGTTTGCCTTGCTGGCAAGGCTGACTGACATGCACTGGAACCATTTTTTTCTGCTCCCCTGTCTTTTTCCCCTCTTTGCAGAAGGTTTGCCTGAGAAGTATGACAGGATTCATTACCCCTGATAGGATCACCGGGGGAAGAATAATTTAACACCTCAAGTGCCGGCTGATCATCAGTCCCCTGAGGTTTCAAGGCAGAGTCATCTATCTGCGTCAGGGAGCTCGTTTTCACCTGGCTGCCTTGCACGAACTGCCGGGAGCTCTGAGGGGCTGGCATCATCTCTGGCCCCTGCCCCGACAAGAGGGCTCCTGCTGCAGGAAGGGCTGATGCTGCCGGTGCTCCGCTGCCTGCCAGCTGGGAGCAACCAGAAGGATTTACAGCTGTAGGACGCCCCTCTGCAGCCGTGCTGGCGAGCCCAGGAGGAAAGGCTTCCAGCTGGCTCCCATCGTCCTTGTGGCACTGCTCACACCTCTGTGTGCCGGCAGCACCTGCGCATTTCAGCTCAGACAAGCAAACTGCAGCTGGGCTGGACGGTGTGCATGGGAAGCCATTGCTGGTCCTCTGGTCGCTGGGTAGCTGGGGCTGGTGTTTAGCAGACTGCAGGTCTCCCAGGTGCTCCTCCTCTGCAGAAGCTGAGACAAGGGAAAGCTTGGCAGATCTCAGAGGATCTGGTACAGTCCCCATGGACTGCCTCCAAGATGTTGTCTGCGCTCAACTTCTCCTTGGAGTTTTCTCACTGGGCAGGCTGTCAGTGATGGGTTTCCTGTGAAGCTAACCTGTTAATGAAAAGAACAGCGTTAGCAGCAGTCAGATTAAAGAAAAAGCACCCAGAACACGTTGATTTTACAGCATGAAAAGAAATACTTGCAAGCAAAGGGGAAAGTGAAGCACCCAACTCTGCCTAAAAGTCACAGAAAAGACAGATTTCAATGATCTTCCAGTTCTGAAGTCTGGCTGGAGAAACCAACGTTAGGGACAAAGCAAAAACAGCTGCTCTGTTGCCAATACATTAATGAAAACAATGACATACCAAGAGGGAGGGAAAAAAAAAGAAATATGAAGTTAAAGAAGAGGTATAGACTTTGTGTAGAGGTGTCTGAAGTCACAAAATAAACTCACTGTGACAATATTCTCTAACAAGTCACAGGTGGAAGGAAAAGCCCTGTTGCACCTTGCCTGTTGCACCTAGGTGAAGAACAGATCTGATTCCCTAGATCCACCCCCAGACCTGAGCAGATCCCACACCTTCAATAAGTATCAGTTCCCCTTTCTTCTCAAGAATAGCCCTTCTAGCTCCATTACCAACAAGGAGGTGGTCACAGGGGGCAACAGGTCAATTCAGACTAATGTGGATGAACCCAAACCTCACTGGTAAAAGGAATATGGAGGGATCACAACCTGCTGAATGATGCATATAAACAAGAGGAGAAGCTGCTGCACAAAACAGCACAGAGGCTGTGCACACACTTACTGTTTTCACGTTTAGATCCTTTGAAATACAAGGAAGCCAGCAAGATTAATAAATGGGGGTACAAGTGATCTAGAAATCATTTTAGGAGCAGGTGGTATGACATTGGAAGGGAACACTGAAGCACTGCAGGACATGAGGGGCCCATGCCATATCCAGGGAAACATGGGAGAGGGATTTTAAGTAGGTGCAGCAGACTTATCGAGGTTGAAATCCTACCAGGACTGCAGAGAAACCATCACTTCAAACAGGAGGCGATCTCCAAATGTGCCTGTTGGCTGGGCATTCCAAAGGGCTTAGCCCAACTTGGATTCTGTTAAAGGTAAAGGACTGCATCCCTGTCAGTGTTAGCAGAGTAGTGGTGGCCAGTGATAAAATCCCAGCTCACTCTTCTTTTAAACTGCATGCTACATGTGCTTGTCTAAAAAGTTTTCCCTGTCTTATGCTGCCAGGAAGACACAAATATGAGACTTGGGAGACACCTTAAACATTTAGTTTTGTTAACCAGAGAGATGACACCAGGAAAATTACTGTACCTTTCTGTGTGCCTCCATCTCCACAGGCACACAGTAGGATCTCCTCTACTACATTCCTAGGGAGATGCTGCTGGAAGCAGCTGTGCAATCACTAAGCTGTTCCAGACCCTCCCTCTCCACTAGCAAAATCAACAAAAGCTCTTTTCAGAAAACATCTCTTCCCTCCTCTTTCTCAGCCTGAATGGCAGCGGTATAACTTCCTTAGTTTTTGTTAAATTAATCCTAAGTTTCAGTACCTTAGGATACTTAGAAAGAGCAACAGAAGAAACATGCTCAATGAAAGGAAAATTTAAAAAATACAGCCAGTCTATTTTTCTAAGAAAAGGAAAGTGCTGCAAGTTATTACTTATTCATTGAGCTTTACATCTTCCAGATATTAATAATTTATTACTTTTATACTGTCTCTTTGGGCTCTGTCCAACCACAGATACACAGTCTGCTGGGTTAAGCCAGACCTGAGAAACTGTGATCCTGCCCCTGAAGGGGGCTTAGCTATAAGCTAAGTTCCTTAGCTATAATCTGTGACATCAGCCCAGCATCATCCCACAATGGCTTTCCAGGAAGGCGAAGGATTGCTAAGATTTTTGAGAAGTATGTAAACCAGACTGCAAATCAGTTGGAGTTTGTGGCTGCCTATGAGACATCTTCACTTTACTTTGTGCTCGCTTTACAGACAGACAGCATAGTCCTGAAGGAAAGGAGAGCCATTCCATGTTCTGCTGTTGTACTATAAACATCTAACGTCTGCGAGGAGAGGAGCAGATGGCTTCAGGAATCTTTTTGTCTAAATTCTGTTACTGTCTTCTCTCCCTTTCCAGATATTGATGCAAACTAAACCAGTATATACAATTGGGCAGGTCAAATATCTCTTTTATTTTTTAGATCCAGAGTTTATTTAAGAACAATTAAATAATTGATGGAACAAAACCAACCCACATTTTTAGGATGAGATGAACTTACTCAGCAGTTTCAGAAGAAATAAAGATTTCAGAGAAAATCTGTTCAGTTCTTCACTATACAGAACCTGGAGCACCATCTTTAGCTCATACCCTCTCAACAGGGGAATGATTCCTAGTTTTTCAATTAAATTAATTAGTTTTGCTCTGAACCCCTGCATGAATTCTCCCCATCTGTTTAGTGGCTCTTCCCCAGCATCACCTGAAACACACATTTAAACGTCTGCCTCGTGCTAATTGAAAGAAATTCTGCTACAGAGCCGTCAACATCTAATGCCAACAGAGGAAATTTTGCCCCAGAAAATCCACCTGGACCTATTCTCTGATGTGGGACAACAGAGCACAGACCAAACATTTTGTTTGACCCTTGAACACGGGTTGGGGACACGGGTTATTCTGCTGCCTGGAATGACTCTGAAAATGAGTTAGAATAAGGTTTTTATAATGGTTTTGTTGTCAAAGTAACGGGAGCTATTTTCTAGACTCTTCACTAAGCCATCCTAATGACAGGAGCCAAAGGCACTGCAGTAGTCTAAATAAACACAGTAATTTTTGATAATGTTCTTACTGAAGAATATATAAAAGTCAGAAAGGTAAGTCTTATGAAAGAGAACAACAAGCAAACCAAACAGATTACAGAATTGTAAAGGTATTTCTGTTATTGAAATCTCATTTATGACTATTGTCTCATTCTTATTATTTGAGTCCTGTTATACAGGAATGAAGAATAATGCTGGGACCTTTGGGCAACGCTGTTCAACTGCCACGGCAGTGAGAAGTCAAACAAACAAGCAACAATGCCTGCAAGCAAATACTTAGGAGAAACAGAAATACAAAACTCAATAGTTGGCCAAAAAACATGTCAAAACAAATCAAAATCACTGATGAATTTTTCAAGTCTTGTACCAGACCTGAAGCAATCACCCAAAATTTTCTTTCATCAGGAGGTGAAATTAGTATCTCCACAAAGGTCAAAATCAATTTTTAGTTATAAGAACAGATTTGCTATGCCAACACAGTTCTCCTTCCCCTTATTCTTACAGGCCAAATTAGCCTGCCTGAGTGTGTCACTCTCGTGTCAACAAAGAATTACTCTGTATCTTTTGCAACAAGAGGTTTCTACCTTTGACAACTACTGTGTTTGGCTTATATGGTCTGGGAGGGTTCCTGCACGGCAAGCAGACCTTCATGGACTCTTGTGACTGAGTAGGTCTTTTTTATGTGCTGTAAAAAACCCCATAGAAATACCATAAACTCCCAAACCAAGAAGTTTCCAGGCGACACAATGCTGACAATGGAAAGAAACTCCTAGTTATTTCACTAACACCCAACCCCCAATTAAACAACACTACACTTTTTCCTCTTGCCGCTTATGAGAAAGTTCTGCATGTTTCATAATACAAATCAATAAATTTGCAGCAAATTCCTACATAAGACTCTGCCTCCCATTCTCTCTTGTATAAAATCTGAAAATGTGCAAAAGCGCAAATAGGACCGCCAGCATCTCCACCTACCCTCACTTGTAAAAATAAAAACAATTAAAAAGAAGCTCTCAAACTAATCAAACACTCCTTCCCCAACTCTGGATTCTCATTAGCTTTCTGTTTTTTGAGTCCTTCACTCTTAGAGCCCTCTCTTCACCCTCGTCTCTGCAAATATAAGAGCATTTGCTCTAAACAGTTCTAATCTTACATGATCTCTCAGAGCATCACAAAAATCATTATACAACCACACGGGTTAAGGACAGAGAAAAACATTTGCTGAAGTGAGAATTCAGTCTCCATTCTCATTTCTTGATCTGAGAAAAAAAGATAATGGCTCACCCAAACTCATATTAGACCACTGAATATAAAGAGCACAAAGTGCACTTCTTTAAATTTTAAACATACATACGTATATGTGTCCTAAGTCTGTACCCAGTGGGCTTTTTTCCCCACATAATTAAGTTGCTGTTCTCTGTAAATGCTGTAACTTTATTTTTTTAGTGTCAAAGGGTGTTTGTTACTCTGTTTATCTGTGAAAAATTTGCTTCACGGGTTATTTTCTCCCAATTATCTGTGGGATTGAAAACTGGCAGTGCAAATGAAGGGCAGCACAAACCAAGGACACAGTCATTAAAAGATGAAAGAGGTTGCCCGAAGAGGCAAGATACAAGACACAGAGCTTCCATCTTTCAGTGTGCTCTGGGATGCTGACAGGAGACATATTATCACACTACAATCACAGGGAAGCAAGAGGCGGCAGTGGATGCCCATAGATACCTTGCATACATGCAGTTCCTAGCAGGGACGAGGCTGGCATTTCAAGGGTAAGGTGCCTGAAGTCCCACTTCACCTTCTACACCTGGGGACTGCACATGTTTCTGAGGATCAGACCTGCAAACACAGCAGGAACCAGTTTCAGGGACAGACAAGGAGGTGGATAGCAGAAGCAACAAGTTCAACACCACAGGGCTGCAGCACCTTCCATGTACACATTAAGCAAAGTGGGTTGTATGTGGTAGGTTAATTTTGATTGTCTCTGCTGACTCAGCAGAACTTCTGTAACACTTCAGCATATACTGCTAAATAGCTATTTACTCCCTCACTATCCAGTGAATTGATAGGACCTTACTCAGCCCAGATGGACAACAGCCTATTGTTACACTGCTTTTAGTGCAATAAGGGGTTGTCTGCCCTTTTCAGCAGTTTACCTTTTCCTACTGCTTCTTGATGCTTTTCTGCTGCCTTACACTACAACGCACCTTGATTCTGCTCATCAGCTGAGCCCATCATCCTGGGTATCTGAGCACATTTGTTGCAGCATCTGTGCTCAAGGCTATCTTGAGTTAAGGGCCTACTCCACAGTCTGACCATATCCAAAGCCTTCTCTGGCTGTATCACAACTGCCCTGAGGACAAAAACAGGGAAAAGTGCGATGTATTGTGTGTCTTATTTGTGTATTTACTATTATGTTCCTTTAAATGGCTGGTGGGGTTAGTCACACCTCTCTAGAAGGAGAAGCTCAGCTCAATGGGCCATGGGACAAATGTTGGAGCAGGAAGCTGAGAAGGAACTGAGATGTGCAGCCCCTGCAGGGAGCACCCAGTCAGGTGCCAAGGGGGACAGGATGAGAAAGACTGGAGAGAGCCAGGCAGTCTCATGCAGGTCAGGAGCCTCTGCAACCCTCATCTGCTTATTTTTATTTTTCACTATATTAAAAATTACACTCCTCATTTGCGATTTTTTTAACTCTAGGTTGTGTGGGGGTTTATTTGAAAAGCTTTTCAGTTTTTTTGTTAGTTTTTCGGGGTAGGGAAGTTTACTTTAGAAAAACATCAGATCCACCTTAAGGCTCCACCCAGCCTGAAGCCCAAGCACACATACAGACACAGATCCTCTGTACAGCCTTCCTGCTGCTGGCTATCAGGAGTTTAAGGATTTTTCCAAATGGAAGGACACACTTCAATCACCTTTTGGAAGTGAATGCACATCTATGAACCTCCTTAGCGTATCTGGCCCATACAAAATGCTGTGCAATGCACACGTGCGTGCCCTATGGGAAAAGGACCTTTATTTGTACAAGTGGAAGTCTGGGCTGCTCATTTTAATGTTAAAGCAAACACCACCAAACAAAACCCCACAGCCTCTCCTAAAACCCTTCCCAGCACTTGCCCTAGAAGCCCTTTTGAATCACGTGTGATGCCACAATACTAGATCAGCTGAAACTACCAACTGAGCCACATGAACAGCCCTGAAGAAAACTCTGCTCCACCCAGGGCTCCCAGGGTGCAGCCTGGCTCCCCACTGGGCCTCACAGCTCTTCCTCCCAGATGCTGACACTCAAGCAGAGTTGAACCAGATTTGGGGTACACCTCTGCTCCAGTTTCAGACAAAAGGGTTCAAACCAGTCCAAGTCCCATGGCTTGAGCAGAACCTTGCCTTGACACTTCAAAATGGTCCAAGGACACAGGTGTACCTAAGCAGTTGCTCAGGGACAGATGTGTGAGAATATCTGCAATCGGCTTTTAATAGGCAGGCACACAGAACAAAAACTGTGCGGTGATCAAGCATGATTCAGTTCTACCGTCCTGCTGGCAGTTACCCTACAATTAGAAAGATGTCCATCCAGAAAGGAAGTACAGCTCTGCTCTGACACAGGATGTTCTAGCCTGTGTCCCCATCTGTTCCCTGTGGGCAGCACCCATCTCGCCCTGGCCAGGAGACAAGCGGCAACCCCCACATCCAGCTCCAGCACCCAGTCACAAAGCCCTGGTGGGAGCCCGTGCACTGTTAGCAACACCATGATGTAATGCAACTTCTCTCCTGGTTGCACTTTGCTTTTAATTTCTGTCAGAAAGTCACTGTACTGGAAGGGATCACATTATCCTTTTGCATACCCTGATGCATATAGCTACTACAGTCCCACCAGGGGCTTTCACTCAGACATTCCCCCCACAAAAGCTGGGCTGGGTCTGCTGAAGATGTCACTGTCCAGTGGCCATGGCCAAAGGTAGCAGGCTGGCACGTACTGTGGACATGCTGCAAGAGCATCTTGTTTGCCTGGGAGTAAGGACGAAGTGGTTACGGATTTATGGGTGCACTCTGGTTTTGCAACTCTTCCAGGTTTCCAGAAGGAAAGTGGGGTTGCCTTGAGCTCTGACACTTTTAAAGCATGAAAAAAAGGTATTCAGAAGTGGGAGAAAATATAGTATTGAGAAGACTGCTAGAAGTCAGCATTCAGAAAGGAGACTGAAAATCTTGGTTTGAATCAAGAATTGTGGTATCATCTATCGCCATTGAAGGTTGAAGCCTTCAAAGTTCACTTCCTTCTCATGGATTAAAAGCCTTTTCCAGGAGAAGCTCAGATCCTCACATAATCATAGCCTCTAGAATCTCTCAAAAATGCCCCACACACGGTCAGAGGGCGGTGGCATGGGAAGGAACCACAGGAGGGCTGGGTGACAGCCTGAACATGCAACATCCTTCTCCCCATACCATCCCTTCCTCTGACCTCCAGCCCCATCCCGCCCCTCTACTCCCCCAATCAGCCCATGCTCCTAGGCATTCTCCCTGCTGGCAGACAGAGGCCCTGGGCAGCAAAGACAGGCACACCTCCTCCCAGGGCTACAGCACCCGGTAAAAAGTCTTTCTTCAGCAAGGTGTGTAAGTATGCACAAGTCCCTGCTGAACACTGGGCTTGCTGCAGAACACTGCCAAGAGCCTGCCAGTCTTTCTCCTCCAAGGTGAAAGGGAAGGATAAATGGCTTTATGAAAACAGCTAAATCAAACAACAACTACGCTGACCAGCAGCCAGCTGTAACAGTTGCATAAGCTACACTGACATTCCTTCCTCATATCCTGGGCCACCCGAGAGGGGATGTGACATGCAAGTAAAACCCACACGGACATATAGTTTATTCCTTTTTTTCTTTTTTTTTTAATTTCATGTTATTATGTTTAGCCTCATTTTTTATCAACAGGTTTTTCTTATTTCAGTATCTGACACCAGAAGTCATTTTTAAGGAAACACAGCCTGACTTCAAGGGTAAGCCATGTTTCAGGAGGAACGTCTGCGTGTACACCCCTGACACATGCACACAAGAGGAAACCAGCAACCTGCTGTCCACATCAGGTGACTCCATTTCACATAGCCTCACTGCCACAGTATTTTTCTTTAGCTTACTATTTAGTAAAAACAAGAAGGGGTGTTTGAGGCATGTGAACAGGACGCTTTCAAACACCACTTTCATGTTTGATGTTGAAAGCAACAGAATTTCTAGCAGACCAAGTGGGAATTTCACTCCTTATCTATCCTGCTATCTTCTCCTGTCTGATAAAAGTATGGTGAAATCTAACCCCTCATTAATGCATTTCATGCAGCTGAAAGCTTTTGAATGTTGACAGCTGACAAACAAAAGCCCTGTTTTTTGTGAGAGCAGTTTAACAGTAGCCAACAATAAATACCTTTTTCCCAAACAGCAATGCCAACTATAAAGCAGAGTGATCATCTTTAGGGATGAAAGCACAATGCTGGCTTAGTGCCCATGCAATTCTTGCTTTCTCAGCTATGACTCTCAGACAACTAGCAACAACCAGGATGATAAGGTTTATGTGGATATCCATCTCTTGTAAGCTGGACCAAGACCAAAATCACATTTCTGTGGTCAGGAGAATGTAACTACTGCTGAGTAGGTGTGTCATGGAAAGGGTGGCTCTAGGGACAAAGGATGTTATATACTTCTAACATGCTTTCCGATCCTCAAAAGAAGTTTCCTGAATTTCATTATGACCTCCTTAAGAGTATTCCCCCAGTGCACTGAATACAAACACTCATCTCATGGCTGAAGCATCCCTGGCAGAGGAGCTGCTAGGCTAGATAATTAGGCCTGATTTGCTGCTGAATAATCATATTATCAGTGCCCAGAGAAATGTATTGTAGCAGCAGTTCTTGTTTTAAAACCAACCTTGCAAGTAAGGAAATTTTGCCTTGGAAGAGCTGATGGCAGGATCAATGTCTTTTGCATAAAGTAAAATCCAGTGATACTGTTTAACTCTCACATGCTGCCTGAGAAAATTAAGTTCTCCTCATATATCATTTTAATGAAGATGCTGGGCTTAGTATTAGAGAAGGGAAGAGATCTTTACATAACAGGCACCTGGTAAAGGACATATCCATTGTCATTTACAGGCGTTATCCTAACGGAAAAGAACTACTCCAAATGGCATGTAATTAGAGAAGAAGGATGTAGTGCCTAACCAGTCATTACTGTAACAGAAATTAGCCGTACTGTGTGATTAACCTAAGAAAGGCATGATGATGATCTCACCATCTCTGCTCTTGTCTCCTGGCTATCAGAAAACACAACTAATGCGAATAAAGGCTGGCAGCTGAAACAGCTATTACTGTAGCTTTATTTTTCTTTTAGAAAAAAAAAACCCAACAGTTAAAAATATCTTGCCTTCTTCCTGCTGCCACCTCAGCAGTTGCTTCCTGCTTTTTCACGTTGTCACTTTGCTCTGCTGTTTTCTGTCACTGACAATAAGAGCAGCAAAAAGAACAAAATAATTTCCTTAGTAAACCGCCTCCTGCTAAACACCTTCTCAAAAAAAACACGAGAGGAAGCTCCATGTGCTGGGCCACTTTCTGTCTGATGTATTGAGGCTCTGCAGGAAACCAAATGGCTGCAGGTTGGAGGCCTTTGCTGTTCAGGGATAAAAATCGGAGCAATTCTGTGGTATCTTTACAATGCTGGTAAATGCTCTTTTGAGGGCAATGACTCAAACCTGTATGATCAGCTAAGGACTCTAACCTGCTCACCTCAGCCACTCAAGCTTTCAGTATGACTTCAGTGAGACCATTACATGGAAAGCTGTCACCTCAGACTCTTCTTTTT